ACCCCCTCAAGATTGTCTATCTCATCCAAAACAAGGAAGATCTGAGAGACTGTCATTGCCAAGGAAAGCCTAATGAGATATGACGCAATGCAATATGGTGTCCTGGCCTGGATCCTGGACCAGAAAAAAGACGTTAGGTAAAAACTAGGGGAAATTGGGAAGGTATGGAGTTGAAAGGTATGAACCATATCAATACTGGTTCATTCGCTGTGACAAATGTACCTTAGAAATGGAAGATGTTAACAATAGGGAAGCTGGGTGTGGAGTCCGGTGTATGGGAACTCTGTACTGTATTTGCAACTTTTCTGAAAATCTAAAACACTTCTAAGATTAAATGTTGCTATTTTTTAATGTCATAGAACATGTGAGAAGGACAAAAAGACCTCAGATGAGGCCTCCTAGCTGGAGCGACCCTACAGAGGGAGGTTCTTGTGACACAATCACCCCAGGACTCACACTGTCCGAGGAGACACCTGGTCTTGGCACGGCAGGGCACTGATTCTGGAACCTTCCTGCTTCAGCCATCCTGATGCTGATGGGGAGCATAAGACATTTTTGGGGCTAGCAATCTGAATTTGTTCCAGTAACCTGCCTTCTACTGCACACTCTTGCTAGCCGATAATTAAGTCCATTTGTGAAAGAATGTAGGAGACTAGCAGCCGGACTCTGTACCTAAGTTAATCAATGTCCCTAATGCACATTCCTGAAGTCACTGCCCCTTCCTTAATTATCTGGTCTTGCAAGACCTATTTACCTAAATACTTCCAATGTAACAAGGGCCATAAACCAAGGATGTAACAGCTTCACTAGAGGGAGGTCACTGGCGCATCCAGGATGGACATTAGCTACAATCTAAATTAACTACTCTAACTGACTTGAGGGGGGCTGTGAGAGTCCACCACAGAAGCTTGGTAGTTAGGAAACAAGAAACTCAGAAATATACAGTAGGTCCTCGGGTTACGTCCAAGATCCGTTCCTACAGCGCGACGTAACTCGATTTTCACCTTAAGTGAGAACCCACCTACATAAGCACCTATGTCACTCACATGGAGCACGTACACAGCAGTAATGAAGTGAAACAGTAAAAAAAAAAATTAAAAGAAAGATAACAATTCCTGACCTTTACTTGTGGTAAATAAATAATAAAAAACGTAAAGCACATATGTACATACATCGAAATGATGGAACTTTTTTTTTATAAATAATGGGAGATGGCAACGTAATCACAAAACAACATACGTCGAGTCCGACATAATCCCAGGACTATCTGTCTGTATAAAGAGAAAATCTCATTGTCCAAGTGGTTCAGGATCTGGATCTTAGAGTCCCCTGAACCAGCAGCGCTGCTTTGAATAAAGGCTTTTCCTGAAACCTCCGAGTGTCCAGCTGTCTTCTTCCACGCCAATTCTATAACAACGCTATAGACATACTTTGTAGGAAATAGCCATGCGTATGTCACCAAGAGCCATAACCCTGGGAACCTCAGGCTGCTTTCCCTATAAGCCACCTTGAGTGAATCAGTCACTGAGTGAAGGAGCTTCCTCCCTCATGCCCTGAGGGGAACCATGTCAACTGATGGCCACAAGGGGGCACGTGAGGCCATCAAGAGCAGCAGGCAGAGCAGGGGAGGGTGAGCAGTTTAGGACAGAGACCTGGGAGGGCAGGTTTGCGTTCCCCTTCCCCTGGAAGGTAGCAGGCAACAGGAGAATCATGCATTGGATTTCAGGATCCTAAGTAAGGGTGACTGAGGAGATGCCAGGTGTGCATTTCCATACTCACAGCCGTGAATAAACTGCAATACAACTCATTTTAATTGTTGAACTTTGTGCCAGCCATCTCGCTGATGGCAGACAACTTAATTTAGTCTGTTAGGGGTTAAGTTTTGTTCAGTCTAATAAAACAAATTTTGGGTGTTTGTTTGTTTGTTTGTTTGGGGGGGAGTAAAGTTTAAAACTGAACCAATCCAAGATCTACTCACCCTATTGGTTCTGTTTTCCTAGAGAATCGTAATTAATATACCCCAGTACCTCAGATTGGGGTGTACAGTGGGGCCTTGACTTACGAGTGTCCCAACTAACGAGTTTTTCGAGATATGAGCCGTCTCTCGGCCGATTTTTTGCTTTGAGTTGTGAGCTAAAATTAGGGTTACGAGCCAGCTTCAGATACCCCACCGCTAGTTGGCGCAGCAAACGTCACAGTGAATGCCACAACATCAGCCCAGCATCACGTGTCTTACTTATTCACTTTAATGATTTGACATACAAGTAATTTGAGTTACGAGCTCCGTCACGGAACGAATTAAACTCGTAAGTCAAGGCCCCACTGCATTTGGACACGGTGTCTTTAAAGAGATAATTAAGTTAAAATTAGGTCATTAAGTTGGTCCCTAATCCAATGTGTCTGGTATCTTTACACGAAGAGGAAATTAGAACACAAACGCACACACAGAGGGAAGACCATATGAAGACACAGGGAGAAGGTGCCATCTCATCTACTATAGGCCAAGAAGGGAGTCCTCAGAAGGAACCAACCATGACGACACCTTGATCTCAGACCTCTAATCTTCAGAACTGTGAGAAAATTAATTTCTATGGTTTAAGCCACCCAGTCTGTGGTACTGTGTTATGGCAGCCCTAGCACACACACTAGTACAAAGACACTGGTGTCCTCCAGAGCCACAGTCTTTCTTCATAAAGTTTAACACACCCAAAGTTGGAGATGCTGATCAAAAAGGTAGAGCAGTTGCTTCACGCTAATGGGGTGACTCAGCAGATCAACAAGAATGTGTGTGGGCCACACAAGTGTGTGAGTTGCTGCTTCTCTTGTGCCTTCCAAATCTCCCACAAAAATCTGGTGACCCTCCCTAATCCAGGAAACATACAGGAAAGGGAATGCAGTCCAGCCAGGACAACTTGGCATATGACAAAACCAACATAATCACTCCACACAAAATTTAGCTCCTTCTGCCATTTCCATTGCAACAGTGGTTCTAAAAAGGGGCTTATTTTTCTCCCACATTTGACAATGTCTAGAGATTCACTTAATTGTCACAACTTTGGGAGTGTGGCATCTAGCAGGTAGAGGTGAGGGGTGCTACTCAACACTTTTTAATGCATGGGGCCCCACAACAAAGAATTATCCAGCCCCAAAATGTCAATGGTCCCACGGCGTAGAAACCCTGCATTACAACAACAAATTTCAAGAATTCAAAATTGTAGTGGATGCAATGAAAGCTGAGCTGAAGAAAGGGTGTTCCAGATTTTTTTTTCTCTAGTTTGCAAAATAGCTTTTCTCTTCTCTGAAATTATGACATCTACCCAACATCCTGAACTCAGGATCCCATCTTATACTCCAAGGAGTTATCAATATATATTTTTTAAAACAATGTGACTTCTCCCTCAAAGGGAAATTTGGATTCCAAGAGGTAAGGTAAAACAAACTTCTCCACCTTGATATATATGAGTATATACCAAGAAATACTAAGGCAAAAAAAATCTGTAAGTATATAACAGAAAATGTTCTTAGGGCTTACTTCTGACTATTGCAACTTGAGTTGCTTTCCTTGTTTGCTATTTTATATATCTTTTATTTTTTCCCTACTAAAAAACACTTTTAGTAAAGGGAAAAATATGTCTATGCAGAAACATGAAAATATCTTTACAAAATACTAAAAGAGAACAAAGCACCAAAATTAGCTGTGTATACAGTATATTCTCAACGTCGTCAATAGGTTCTTGAAATTATCACTTTAAGTGAAATGAGGTATGATAGAGGCAATTTCACCATAAGCTAATTCATATAAACAAGAGTAAATTTCTGATGACAGGTTTCTAGTCACAAAAACATCACCAAACTTCTAAATAAAGAGCCAAAACACTTCTAATATTAAACAGTGAAATAAATGTGACCTATACATACATGTCAGAGAGATTAGCAAAAGCAAGTAAAAGAATTATTTTCCATCCTGCTTTCCCCAGTACAGGGTCTCAGGTGGCCAGAGCATCTCCTGGCAGCTCAGGGTACAAGGATGTCCATTGCAGGGACATTCAACCCTGACCCACACTCACTCAGATGATGGAGACACACTAATGAACCTAAGGTGCACATCTCTGTGGTGTGGGAGGAAACCAGAGTCCCCAGAGAAAACTCACGCAGACCTGGGGAGAACTGCAAACTCCACGTCGACAGTGCCCCACCCCCAGCATCAGTTGTTTTCTGGTCAATGATACAACAAAACAACATTAAGCAAAACAACGTTATTCAACAACCTTCTGTGTTGCACTGTATGCCTCTATTTTTTAAGTATTTAAAAAAAACAGGGGTTATAGGGAACAGTAACAAGAACAAATGATTAGAAAAAATACCTCAAAATGTTTGTCTCATTCAGGAAATCACGTGATTGACAATGCGCTCCGTGGCCCTACGGATCTGGCTCTTGCTTCAACAGTGCTTGGACGAAACAGACCCAGGACACCCCTTCTTCCCACCTCCCATGACCCTCCAACCTCTTTTCCAGTCAAAACCTTACAAACCATTTGCTCAGCCACCTGCAACATCCTGGTCCAGCCAAGAGCCAACACTTTTTTGTTTTTTGTTTTGGGGGGAGGGGGGTGGTGTTGGTAGCGGGTAGCTGAGCTTTATATTACCCAGCAGCCAGGAGCTCCCAGATTCACCAGAATTACTCCACCCAGATAGAGGCCGGGTCAACCACAGGGTCAACCTGCACCTGCAGGCCTCCTGCACCTACCTCCCTCTGGACCACGTGTCTGAAGACGGCCTGGGGCCACTTCTTCCTCGGGTTGGAGGAGAAGCGGGAAAGCACCTGGCGTCTCTTGAAGATGGAAAACCAGCGGAGAGGAGGTGTCCTCTTCCAGGATGTGCAGAAGCCATTCCAGGATGAGTGGGGCAAAGCCCGGGAAGCCATGGACGCTCTGTGGTCACGGAGGAGATCCTCCTGAGCCACCCTGTGGACATACATGCCCCGGGGTCCGTCTTCGCAGATGCCCCTTCTAGGCCACTTCCTGCAGAAGCGCTTCCGGGGTGAGGAGGTGAAACTCATCAAGAAGATGAGCGACACCTGTCTGACCGCCCTGGGCTGGGCGAGAGTCTCTTTCAAAGCTCACCCTGCCTGGTTTGGATCACTGGTTAAGCAGCGGTTCTCAACCTGTGGGTCGCGACCCCTTTGGCGGTCGAACGACCCTTTCACAGGGGTCGTCTAAGACCATCCTGCATATCAGATATTTACATTACGATTCATAACAGTAGCAACATTACAGTTATGAAGTAGCATCGAAAATAATTTTATGGTTGGGTCACAACATGAGGAACTGTATTTAAAGGGCCAGAAGGTTGAGAACCACTGGGTTAAAGCGTCGGTCCACACACTGAAGGGTCGCTGGTTCGATTATCAATTACGGTCAAGGGCAAGGGCATGTATCTCGGTTGTAAGCTGATCCCCCACCCTGGTGGGGACACATGAGGGAGGCAACCAATTGATGTCTCTCTCACATCGATGTTTCTCTGTCTCTCCCCCTCCCTTGCACTCTCTCTAAAAACTATCCTTGGGTGAGGATTAACAATAAAGAAATAAATAAAATAAAAAGGCTCACCCTCAAGCGTGACTAGGAGCCTGTGGAGCCCAAAGGTTTCTGAGGGGCCCCTGCACTCCCCAGTTCTGCCTGATCCTCTCCCTGCAGCCACTAGGCAGCCTTTGAACCACCCTGGAGCCCTCTCCCATACAGTGGACCAAATAGATACAATAAAGCTTTTGGCAGGGGGGAAAAAAACAACAAGAAGTAACTGGTTTTCCCTGTTGCTGCTTTTCGTAATTTTTAAAAATTAACACAACAGCCGAAACCGGTTTGGCTCAGTGGATAGAGCGTCAGCCTGCGGACTGAGGGGTCCCGGGTTCGATTCCGGTCAGGGGCATGTACTTGGGTTGCGGGCACATCCCCAGTAGCCCTCTCCATACAGTGGACCAAATAGATACAATAAAGCTTTTGGCAGGGAAAAAAAAAAACAAACAAGAAGTAACTGGTTTTCCCTGTTGCTGCTTTTCCTAATTTTTAAAAATTAACACAACAGCCCTAGCCGGTTTGGCTCAGTGGATAGAGCGTCGGCCTGAGGACCAAAGGGTCCTGGGCTTGATTCCGGTCAAGACCATGTACCTTGGTTGCAGGCTCCTCCCTGGCCTGGGCCCTGGTCCAGCGTGTGCAGGAGGCAACCAATTAATGTGTTTCTTTCACATTGATATTTCTCTCTGCCTTTCCCTCTCTCTTCTCTCTCTAAAAATCAATTTTAAAAAAAAGTTTTAAAAAAAGTAATAAGACATACACACACTGTATAGTCCCCTGGCCTGGAGCATGACTGGAACCTTCGAATATGATGGATGTCACTCCTATGATTAGATTACACTCTACAGCAAAGGTGAAGGGATTTTTCATAGATATGAGGTCCCTAATCAGTTGGCTTTGAGTTCATAAAAAAGGAGATTATCTTGGCAGGGCCTGGCCTAACCAGATGAGCCCTTTAAAAGCAGGTTTATGGTCCAGAGATTCAGAGAAACAGACGCTCTCATCTGCTGGCCTTGAAGAAGCAATGTGTGTGCTGCCATGAGTTTTATAGCTTCAGGGAGACAAATTCTGCCAATATCCTTGTCAGCTTGGAAGGGGACTCCAGGGAACAGATACTTCAAATGCAGATTTGGGAGACCCTGGGCAGAGGTCTCAGCCACGCTGTGCCAGGACTCCTGACTCATGGAAACTGTAAGACAATAAATGTATGTTTTACGCTACTGACATTGTTGTAATTTGTTAAGCATAAATAGAAAATAAATACAACCTACTAGGTTTCTAATGAAAAAAGTGTATTTTAGTGAATAAACATTAGACTGGAAACCAAGAAATCTGGGTTTATACCACCACCATTATCTAGCTATATGATCTTAAACAAGTCACCTCAAGCATGGAGTTTTTGAAATATGTTCTATGAGAGATAAAGGGATCACAATTCTATGATTCTAAATCTTGCCACAATAAACTCTGAGTTACCATACTTCCCTCCTCCCCACCTCTGGCTTATAATATAGTCTCGTATTGCTAAAGATAAGAGGCCTTTTAGTTGTGTTGTCAAAGTCTTTTCATAATAAAAAAATTCTCTTTACAGCAGTATTTATTCTGCAAAACATGGTACTTGCCTCACTACAACCCAATTATAATTTGGAATAAAATATGTAGCAAAATGCTTAAGATTAAATACATACAGTCGAGGATAGCACAAAGGAACATTTTATGAAAAGGAAGAAAATCCAGCAAAAGAAGGATTAAACTCCATTTATGCTTCTTAGAATTTAGAATTGGGTTTTGAAAAGGAAGGTTATCAAAAAATAAGGGCAAGCCGTCCAGCCAGAGGAAAGATATAGGAAAGTGCAGGGGCCTGCAAGCAGCTTTAGCTGTATCTGAAGCAGAAAATATGTGCTATGGACTGAATTGTGTCACATTCAAACCTTCAAAAGCCACATGCTGAAGCCCTACCACCCAGTGTGATGGAATTTGGAGACAGAGCTTTGGGGAGGTGATTAGGTTTAGATGAGGTCAAGAGGGTAACGTCCTCCTGGTGGGATTAGTCCCGTATAAGAAGAGACACCGGTGTGGCTCAGCTGGGTGAGCATTGTTCTATGCATCAAAAGGTCATGGGGGGGCCCTATCAGGAGTACACCAGATGTTCAAGGCCACTCTGAGCAAGTGAAACAGGAATTTTAGGGGAATATAGGCAGATTTAGGGAATTTTTAGAATTAGGGTCCATGGAAAAACACAGGGCTACAGATGGGGAGAAGGTACATCTCCATAACACAAGGAAGCCAGGTGCAGGGAGCAGCAACAGTGGCATTTACATAAGCCAAGGGAGCTGGAAATAGCCAAAAAGGTCTATATTTACAAAATAAAGAAGAAGAAAGAAATCCAGAAAGAAAAGAACAATGAGGGAGGAGGACATCACATATCCCATGTGGTGTTTGACCTTTGAGCTCAGGAGTTACTATAGTAACCAGTCTAAAGGAATAGTGACCAATCAGAGGGGATATCAAGGCACCAGGATCTGCAGCCTTTATAAGCCATAGGGAAAAGGAACTCAATGGGACCCTTTTCCCCCTCCCCACGTGGGAGTCCATTCTGTGGGACTCTTTCCCTCTCCTCATGTGGGAGTCTGTACTTGTTCTTCAATAAATTTCCACCTTTGCTATACCACCTTCTGTCCGTGGATTCATTCTTCGACTCTGGTGGACAAAGAATTTGGGTTCCAGTCCAAAAATTTCGTTTCACAAGGATACAGTGATTGTATTGTATACACTGCACAGGCATACTTTTTATAACCCAAATACTGATGTCACTATTTGGCAAGAAGCCTCTTTTGTCTAAGTTGGTATAAAGTGTGTTACTGACCAGCCGGTATGAGGCTGCTTTTATGTCAGTGATGGCGAACCTTTTGAGCGTGTCAGCATTTTGAAAAACCCTAACTTAACTCTGGTGCCGTGTCACATATAGAAATTTTTTGATATTTGCAACCATAGTAAAATAAAAACTTATATTTTTTATATTTATTTTATATATTTAAATGCCATTTAACAAAGAAAAATCAACCAAAAAAATGAGTTTGCGTGTCACCTCTGACACGCCTGTCATAGGTTCGCCATCACTGTTTTATGTAGAGCTGGGCTGCTGTGTGTGCAATGGCTCCTATGTTTGTGGTTGCTTTGTAAGCTACTTTGAAGAACTGTTTTGTGTCTAATGGCTGCTTGGTAGCAATGGCTACTTGGTCGGCAATAAAGCCTCTCTTAAACACCTATGACTTCTCATGTCTTCTCCATCTAATACCCGGCATCCGAGAAGGACTTGTGCTCCCACAGTTGGCATAGTCAAGCAGGATCACTTGACTGTAGTCAGGAGTAAGTACTCTGACACTTGGCTTCACAAACAGGATTTAGGGGTAAGTGCCCCATCTGCCTCACCGGAGATCAGTTCAATTCTCACTCAGGGCACATGCCCAGGTTTGGGACTCAATCCCCAATAGGAGGCATGCAGGAGGCAGCCAACCAATGTGTCCCTCTCTCTTCCTCTCCCTTCCTCTCTCTAGCAAATCAATAAAAACATTTTTGTAAAAAAAAGGGTTCTCTCTCTCTTGCCTTCTGGTTCCCCATTACTCTCTCTTGATCTGTGACCTGCACTTGCTCGCCATGTAGCCTTAAATAGCCACATGACCAGGGCCATGTGGACCCTACACGCAATGGACAGCAGCTGGGAATACAAGCTAAGCCAGATGTTGGACTGGACTATGCTTTAACACGGAGCAGAAACCCTGTGCAATGGCTTTCATTCTAGCTCTGCTAAAGACACGGCTGGACTTTTTCCATGGCAGGACAGAGGGAGATGGGACCTTGGAAACCCAGGAGTTTAATTCCACACAAATAAATATCATTCACTCTCCCATGGGGGTCTCAGGAAATTCTTTTCCCCGTGGCACTCCAAGAACTCCACTTCCACCAGTAACTGGTGGGGACACAGAAGGCACCCCACTGATAACAGTTCAACTACAGGTGTGTTCCTGGTGTTCTTTAGCCAGAGTGTATTGACAGTGCCCAAAAAGTATTTGTTTAAGAAGGAAGAAAGGAAGGATTATCCTATGAATACAGTCAAGCATGCATAATGACATTTCAGTCAATGATAGACCTGATATACAACGATCCCATAAGATGATAATGGAGCTGAAAAATTCCTATCACCTAGAGCAGGGGTGGGCAAACTTTTTGACTCGAGGGCCACAATGGGTTCTTAAACTGGACCGGAGGGCCAGAACAAAAGCATGGATGGAGTGTTTGTGTGAACTAATATAAATTCAAAGTAAACATCATTACATAAAAGGGTACGGTCTTTTTTTTTTTTAGTTTTATTCATTTCAAACGGGCCGGATCCAGCCCGCGGGCTGTAGTTTGCCCACGGCTGACCTAGAGACTTCATAGCCGTTGTCAAGTCTTAATGTCTTATCTCAATGCATTACTGTTTTGTGCAGTCTCAGTCTATCAATAAAACTACAAATGCCGAGGAA